CTTTCTTATTCAACTTACAATCTTTTGTTATAACACCAGCAGCTAGACCATATTCTGTATCATTTGCACGTTTGATTACTTCATCATATGAATCAAATTTAAATATTGACATCACTGGACCAAAGATCTAAATAAACATTTGAGTTTTTGTTTTTATCAATAATAAACAAAAATGAAACCTCTTCACGAGCTATTTTCATATCATCTTTTACATCACTAAAGATAGTTGGTTGAATGAAATACCCTTTATCACCGAATCGTTCACCACCACATTCAAGTTTTGCACCTGATTCTTTGCCTGATTTAATATATTGAAGAATTGTTTCACATTGAGTATTGTTGATCTATAAGATAGAAATCAAATAAAATCATATCAAACTATTCACATTTCTTAGTTTTTAATAAATCATGAACTGTGTAGAATTTTTGTTATCAAATGTTTGAATACTACTATTCATATTTTTCTACTATACCTGTGGTCCTTGTTGAGTTTTTGAATCAAATGGATTACCAAGAACACGTTTCTTGGCTAATTCTACACTTTTAGATACAAATTCATCGTAAATTTTTGAATGAACGAATATTCGTGATGCTGCAACACATACTTGAGCAGCGTGCATAAACAGTGCTCTATGAGCAGTTGTAACAGCAAGATCCACTAACAATAAAAAGAGATATTCTACAAGCTATAACTTAAGAACTTCGGTGAATTGCTCTGTTTATCAGATATAAAAAGTAGCTATCAGTTTTTTGTTTTGAAAATTATTTTAATATATATGAAGAAATCTAACAATGAATATATTAAAGACATGAATGATGATAGAATATGATACATACAGTCAGCATCTTCACAGATAATCAATGGTGATTTTCCACCTATTTACAAGAAAACGATAATATTTATCGAATGTTTCAATATACTTTTTACCAAGTTCGAGTGTAACACGTTTAAGATTTGATTTTGCTGCAGCTTCTTGAACTTTTTTTCCTACCTGAATTGGAATAATGAATATTTCTGGTATATTTTTTACTTTAATCCTTTCGCAGTGATGTGGCCCATCAATAGGCCACACTATATTTTAAAGCCAACGGGTTATCGAGAATAAATGGCCGCATTGTGCATTTCATATTTTAATCTCTACATACGTTTTATTAAAAAAATAGCATATATCATAAGATTCAGCGTGAAAAGTTCTACAATCATCATAGCAAAACTTGTTTTGATTGTGTAATTTTTGTTTTCAAAAAAAGGAAAACTCTGCGTGATCAGCTTTCGAGGTTGTGAAACGATCATTTTTTTCTACACGAATGAGAAATTTCATTTTTCCTACTTCGTCTTTTTATTACTACATATGATTTCGTAGGAAAAAGAAAATATATCACAAGATGCAATGTGAACCGCTCTACAGCCTACCTCATAAAGCTTATTTCAATTGTGTACTTTTTGTTTTCGAAAAAAGCAACATTCTGTACGATCAACTTTCACAGCCTCAAAAATTGGTCGAACATAGGTTTGCTTTTTCTGAAAACAAAACGTACACAAATGAAAGAAGCTTTATTATGTAGATTGTAGAGCTTTCCATGCTGCATCTTATGATATATTCTGTTTTCTAATAAAACGTATTTAGAGATTAAAAGATGAGATGCGAAGTGCGGCCATTTATTCTGAGCTACACGTTACTTTCTATGAAAACCGAATCGCCGTGAAAGGGTTAATATTCTTACTTGAACCGAGCCTGTAAAAGCTATTTTATCAATTTTCTTATGAATAGCTATTTCATAACCACAGTTAGGTCCATCACCTAAAATACAATTAGAAAGCTCTTGTCATTATCATCATATATATTTACCTGGTACAATATTAACAACACCTGGTGGAAATCCAGCCTAAAACATCATGAAAAACCATAATCGAGAATATAATTTAAATGATGAAAAATACTTCTTTGATAAGAGAAGCACAATAGAGTGCAGTAAGTGGTGTTTGTTCAGCTGGTTTGAGAATTACAACATTGCCTATTAAATAGAAAAACATATTGATTAGTGTGATATAACACAAAATATACAAAGTTACCACAAGTTAATGCAGGTCCAATTTTACCGGCTAGCATGACAAGCTTAAATAATACAATACATATTATTTCATAGCCCCTATATATGAGAAGAGAGAATCTTACCGGAAAGTTCCTAAAAAAGAATGAAGAAATATAAATTGCTTTTATATATGCAATAGTTCTACAAACCATGGAATGATTTGTCCACAAATACCAACTGGTTCATGCCGAGTATAGGTAAAAGTACCTGGTGCTGATGCAAGTGTTTCACCAGCAATCTTATCTGACCATCCAGCACCTGAAAAGTATTACTTTTATCAAAACAGAAATAGAATATCACCATTTTTTACAATAATCAAGACATGCAGCTGCACCAAAAACTTCCATAACGCTATCGGTAATGATTTTTCCACCATTCAATGTTTCCAATTTCTAAATAATCAATAATGTTATGAATGAAAAAACAAAGGTGTAAAATTGTTACCGATAAATAATCCACATCACGTCGAAGTAAATCTGCAAGTTTGCGCAACAAATTACCACGTTCAGCAGGCTCACATTTACGCCAAGTTGACTTAATATCGAAAGCTTTCTTAGCAGCTTCAACTGCCTTATCAATATCAGCCTATGACAAAAAAAATGGCCATGAGACTGAATTAAAAGAAATATTCGTAATAATGCACTTACTTTGGTACCTTCTTCTACTTGAGAAATTTCTTCTCCTGTACATGGATTGATGACAGGAAATGTTTTACCATTCGCTGCTTTATGCCATTCATTGTTAATAAAAATTTGTGTATATTTAATTTCTACTTTAGGAGCTTTTGAATCACTTGACGACATCTGTTAAAGATGTGATAAAAAAACCTATAAAACGCTAAAATTAATATATTTCGATTCACAAGTAGACCTAGGAGAGATCCGAGTTCTATGAACTATATATTTTCCGACAACTGGATAAAGTGACCAGTTCGTTTTAGGAACTGGTTATAATGACTAGTTCTTTTTTTCAGAACTGGGTGTGGGTATGGGTGAGAGTGTGGGTTGGTGGAGTGTGAGTATGATGGATGTGTGTCTATTTTCTCTTGACTCACACCCACATTCACACCTCATACCTCGCACCCACACCCGCTCCTATGAAAAAACAGTTTTGGACAGACCAGTTCCTATCAAAGAGTTGGTTGGGCTAAGCAGTTCCTATCAAAGAACTGGTAGGGACAGATCAGTTCCTATCAAAGAACTTTTGGAACAATTCCCAAGATCGGAACTGATATGGAACTGTCTTAGGCCTATTCACAAGCAACGAGATGATAGTGTCATCGAAGTTTTATACTTATTATAAGACATATATATACATCAGTCGCATTTTGCCTTTTCGTTCTCCTTCGTGTGTGTGCAAATACAAATGCATCTTTTTTGTTCTTCTTACACGCCACACATTTTCTCTCCCTCCAACACCAACAGGATAACCAAAAAAATATATGAAAATGGTAGATTTTTTTCTTCCTTACAAACTAATATAATAATGCGGGTCAAAAAAGTATTGCGCTGCACAACATTATCAAATAAGAAAAAAGTTCTTAATGCCCGAGTTTATTCACTGACCCACGGTCTAATAAAAATGATTCTAAATAAAGAAAAAAACAAACGAAACTTTTTCATACATAAAATATTCTTATTGATATAAAATAAAAATAAAATTTTAGTCAGTTTTGATTGAAACTGTTTTCACTTCATAATATTCTTCGAGCCCATATCGTCCAAATTCACGTCCATGACCAGATTGTTTGAAACCACCGAATGGAGCTTGAAATTGCAAACCACCATATTGATTCACCCATACTGAACCAGCTTGCAGTTGTTCAACAAATTGTAAAGCACGCGACACTAAAATATATATACTTTATGTATTAACATATGTCTCCTTTCTTATTCAACTTACAATCTTTTGTTATAACACCAGCAGCTAGA